AAGAAAAAGGGTCATTCATGGAAATGAGAAAAAGATATGAATGCAAATTCTGTTATGCATATGTGGTGCAGACTGTTGGTTAACATTGCATTCCACTTCCACAGTTGTGTCAATAACATGGCACTATGAATAATTTGTACATATACATGCTTCACATTAAAATCTAGAGCAGAACAAACAGTCTCAGGACTTACCGTGCTACAAAGATAAAATTGAATTGGCAGAAAAAATTCTTCTGAAGTACATCAAAGTTCTCCAGCTTCTTCACTTTCACCGTGCCTAATTTGTTATATTATCATATACTCAAATCTCTCATCTTTCCTCAGAGAAATATACATCGTGTGTACAAACCTACTTCCAGAAATTCAATAGAAAAGAAACAGACACTAAGACTATGTAACCAACTTCATTTGAAAATTAAAACCTATTTTAAGTGTGAATAAGGGTGAAAGCATGAAAATTCTTGCCAAAGTAAAAAATATTAAGCTCTTAGAGAATTAAGGGGAATTGAAATAAAGAGGTCTGGATTACCACTTTCGAATTCCATTAAGATTGGTAGAATTTTGAATATATTCGTTCAACTCTACTTGAAATTCTATCCGGGCTCAATTTCTATCACTTCAAACGAAATTCATAGTTGGAATAATAGTAGATTTCCAATTTCACAAGCAAAATTCATTTGTTCTAAGCTTAGCCTAGAAGGTTGAAACCACAATTACGAATTAACATACACAGAATGCCTAGAGCCATAACAAAGGATAACAGACCATCAACCAAGACGAATTTGCACAATGCAGATCAATCCTTCCATGGAAAATAAGCGAGAAATTTCAGGAACTTAAGTAGTGACAAGAATAGACAGTATATCCATAGAATCTGAAAGATGAAAGTTGCAATGTCGCGAAAAAGAAAAATATAAAACACAGACACTGAATGATGAATATTACAAAATGTTTTTGTAATATAAGTATGAGAAATCCACAGACAATTAAGAAACAGATCTCAACAGTAACAGGATAAGCCCTAGCATAACATATCAATCTAAACAAAATCCCTAAAATAGAGAGAGAGACAAGAATCCACCAAACTCAAGCCTCAGCCTACATGGAAGCAGAGGAAACATCCTCCGTAGCAGACACGACACGGTTAGCAGTAGGATCCACAGAGTTGGAAGTAGGAGAGGGGGCAGCGGCAGCTCTGGCCTTGATTGACTCGAGCATACGCTTGCTGATCTCTTTCGAATAAAGCGAGAGGATCTCAATCCCATCATCCTCCTCGGAGGACGCTGCGGAGGCCACGCCAAAGGCCTCCTCCTCGATGGCCCGGGCTGCGGTCGCGGCCTCGTCGGCCGGAAGAGTACCGTAGCGATTAGAGAGGATGGAGGGCGTAGAGAGAGTCTCGATCAGGCGCGTGACAACCGCATCGCGCGTGCGCTGCCTCGGTGGCCATATGCGGAGCAAGGCGTTGGTGGTATCTTCCTCCTTCTTGGGTTGGGGTTGGGTTTCCATTTCCGAGTTCTGCGATTCGGACGCCGGTGCGGTGACAGTTGGCGATTCAGTGTCCGACATATTATCTCTTCTGTTTCTATTTGCAGATGACGATTTTGATTTGGGGAAAATTTCGAAGGGGGAAGAGTTAAAAATGTGCGAGTCACTGAGTCGGGGGAAGGTGGGGGGGAGCCGGATTGAGGAGAAGGGAAGTGATGAAGAGGAGGAGGAATTGGGTGTGGGCTGAGAGTAGATAAGCAGAGTCTTAATGGGCTTAGAGTTGAAGTTATGCAAGATGTCGATTTCTGATTGGGGAGGCAGAGCTTCTTTTACACAGTTTTTCCTACTGTGTGATATAGCGCACGCATTCTGTATGTGAGTTGGTCAAAATCTCGTGTCACGAGCATCGGCCTCCTTTATCACGACCGGAAAGTCCAGATAATTAAGAGGGGAAATTATACACGTTTTGAGAAATTTAATAATTTTTTAAATTGAATTAAAACTCAGTTAAGTCGTTTAAAGATATTTTGCATAATTAAAAAATAGTAAACTAATTATATAATAGATAATAACAACTCTATGATTCTTCATCAACAAAATATTTTAGTATGTTGATAATGATAAATAAACAATAGTAATCTTTTATATAACACATGAAGCATATAATTTTATAGTTATTTTATGAGTATTATTGTTGGAGTATTTTAAAACAAAATAAATAAATAAACTAAAATTTGTCCATTGTAATTTTTGAGTTTAATTGACAAATAAACATAATCCCATATTTTAGCAAATTAACCATGAGATGGGAAAAAAGAAAGTGGATATATAATGAATCACATAGGCCCACCCAACTCAAAGTAATAAGTTAGAACGGAGTCCGCTAAGCGTTTCTTTTTGCTTCTTAGACAAGAGTTCACAACCATGATTACAATACATCAAATCTAGACAACAGATGATTGTAATATACATGCACCAATTGAGTGGGTTAATGGTTCTATTAACATTTCCAATCTTTATATGTTACCACGAATGAATAGATACCAACGTTTAAATTTGTTATTTTATGCATGTTACTACGAGTTAATAATAATTAATTATTTAACAAAATTATGATAATTAAATTGTATTAAATCTTAATAAAATTACATTATAAAAATAATATTTTATAACAATTATGTACTAATATACTTGGTAAAAAAGCCACTTAGATTTTTATTTTTAAAGAAAATTACATTATAAAAACCTATTATTAATTGGGTGAATGTTTATTTCTTCCATCTCTTTCCAAAATTGGAGGTTGGTAAAGACATGTAAGTTCTAGTGCATCTAAAGGCGAGACAGCATATGAATAAAATCTTGGCGAGGCCTACACAAAACCTCCAAAGGCTTAGCCTTTGACATGGTAACAACAAGTGCTTGGCTCATATCCACCTCCCTCTCCCCCATCTTTCCCCATTCAAAGCACTGAACCAGACCACCCACTGCCAACGAAATAGTCCTTATCCCCATGCCGGCGCCTGGACAAGCTCTCCTCCCAGCTCCAAACGGAACATACCTGAACCCTTCTCGCTCTCCCAACATCCCTTCGAATCTTTCGGGCTTGAATTTCATGGGTTCCTCCCAAACACTCGGGTCCCTGTGCAGCGACCAGATGTTCACCAGCACCATCGTCCCGCGCGGGATGTCGTAGCCGCCGACTGTGCAGTCGGCGTTTGACAAGTGAGGGAGCAAAAGCGGCGTGGCGGGGTATAATCTAAGAGTCTCGTGTATAACACATCGGAGGTAATGGAGTTTTGGGAGATCAGAGTCGTTTATTAGACGGCCATGTCCGACGTTTTTGTCGATCTCGGATCTTAATTTGTTCATGGCTTCTGGGTTATTTAGAAGCAGTGACATTGCCCATTCCATGGTGATCCCTGATGTGTCTGTTCCTCCATTGAACAGCATCTGAATATAGAAAGTGAAATTGTTAAGCGAAATGATCTGCCATTTGATAGAACTAAGTAAGATTATTATATATATATATGTATGCACACACACACACACATATATTGATGTGGTTACCAGCAAGACGCTTTTTATGATATCGTCTGTGTAAAATTCAGGGTCAGAATCTTGAAGTGACAAGAGGATTTCAATCACTGAAATCTCGTCTTTCAAAGAAGAACTTCTTCCCTTCAATCGAATCTCATCGATCAGATTCTGCATATATTCATCTCTCAACCTACGCATCCTTATCGCAATCTTCTCCAACCCTTTATATCCAATCAACCTCAGAAAAGGAATGAAATCACAGACACCCATTGACATGCTCGGGAAAAATCTCTCCTTGAACTCCGCCAGAAACTGGTTTTCCTTCTCCATCTCCGCCTCCTTTCCTTCAACCCCGCGCTTCCCTGCAATTATTCTCAACATGATATTCGCAATCGTGAGACAGAGCAGACGCTTCAAGTCAACCTTCTGGACGCCATTAGAGCAGATCTTGAACAGCCTGCGACAAAGGATAGCAACTTCTTCTTCTCGGACACTTGAATATTTCTGAAGACTGCTGGAAGAGAACACTTGGAGCACCGTCAGTCGGCGTAGGGTCCGCCAGAGGTCACCGTAGGGAGCGAATCCATAGACAGTGTAATTGTAACTAAGGTGATCTCCGGCGACAGATCGAGGCCTGTTGGCGAGGACGACGTCGTTTTTGGTAAAACACTCTTCGATAGCAGAGGGAGAGGAGACAACGAGGACAGGGAGAGAGCCGAAGTGAAGATAAAGAATTGGACCGTACTTGGATTTAAATGTATCCAAAGCATGGTGCAGAGGTTTGTTGATGAGATGGAGGTGGCCGATGATGGGAAGAGCAGGGGGAGATGGAGGCAGACTTTGGTTTCTGCGCAGTAGAAGTTTGGTTAAGAAGAAAAGGAAGAGTATAAGAGGAAGAAAATATGGTGAGATTTCCATGGTCAACCAGAGCAAACTCCATTATTCAGAAATTTTCCTTTATGTTTCTTGACGGGTCTCGAAATTGAAGTAGGTAAGCACGTGTTGCTTATCTTCAATTGGCGGAGTATGGACAAAAAGTACTGAATTTCTCATATCTTATCTACAAATGGATGAATATTTTCTGGTGTAAAGATGATTTTTGGGTTTTGTTCTTCAACACTGGAATCTGCGTCTTCCATATTTTTTGTTTGTTTTGATCTTAATTTATTTACATAAATAAAAACGCAATAAATAAAACTTCAAATAAAAGGATACGCAGAGTGACAGTCTGATTCCAACACAACATTTTCTGTAAAAGAAGGTATTTAAGATAAATTCATCTTGTTTGGTAATGGATTAGTTTTCTACTCTCGAAATCTCATTTTTAAGTGGACTGAATTATTAAAGTACTACCAAAAATTTAAGAATTATTTTTCCTCCACTTGCTGCATCAACGAGTAGTAAATCACAAATTTCTGACAAAAGATGTGGTTCAAGGATTCTATTTTCTAGTACCATGACCAATTTGCTCGGCGGAAAATAATGGGTCAAGCCCACATTTTCTTCATAGTCTGAAGTTCATTACAGAAAAAGAACGGCCCAGTCAAATTTATAGCGGAGAGAGTAGTTTTAAGTCATTTCCTTTTTTTTTTTTTTTTTCTTTGAATGAAATTAAATCATCATAAAATTAATAGGTTTATTCTATTTTCAAATTATTCTGAGAGAATTTTGTTCAGCAGCTGAATTGACTCTGATTCTCTGAAGGTGTCGGTCTTTTTATATATATATATATATATATATATTTTTTTTGTTGGAATGATAAGTGGCATTTTGGATGTTATTGATGGGCCGTACTGGGTTTCAATGGTCAATAAAGCTCGGTTTTCTCGATGCAAAAGCAACACAGAGCCAACCTGCTGAACTTATATGTCTTCGGCCCTTTACGTTACGTCAGATCAGATATGCTCTCAGCCTTTTCTATTTTTCCACACCACCACACCCTCCGGAGCTTTAATCATTTTTCTCTTGATACATTTTTAAAATTTAAACCCAGACAATTTTGCGACGGAACGACGTCGTTTTTCCAAGCACAGTACAAAATATTTAATAAAATAATAACTCTTTGTGCTGCAATTGAAAAAAGTTAGACTGCATTTTTTAATTATTAAAGAATACTTCTTACACTTAAAATATAATAAATTTATTGAAATTAAATAATTAAATCTAATATTATAATTCAATAAAAATTCACTTCAAACAATATATATATATACATTGTCAAATAATTTATTTGTGAATTAAGTATGAAATCTGACAGAATTAAAACTCATAATCTAACAAAAACCCACTTCAATATTTGTGTGTAAGAAGCTGGAGACGGTCACCTACTACTTTATGGTAAAGTTTTACACATACTTAGAAGTGTTGGCAAAAAGTTAACAAAAGTCTTTAAAAGGAGCATGAAGTGGAACAAAATTTGCAAGCAAAGATTCAAAGCAAAAGCTTTTAACTCCCTTGATTTTGAACGTTAGTTCCGCCGAAGTGGTACTTTAGTGGGCTGCAATTAATATGAACTTTAAAAATTTTCAATTTTAACATTTAAGAGATTTATTAATAAAAAAATATTAACTTAAATTTGTAAACATTCTCCGATATATCATTATGGCTTTTTTTACCAACTTATTTAGAAGTGGAATTCTGACGGAATTATGTAATCTCGATTGCCTTGATTAATTTCTTGAAGATCAATTACTTGATAAAATATATTGAAATTTACATATATGAGTAACAATTATAAGATATAAAAGATGGACCGTATGAAATCCAAATTTAAAACCATACCCAAAATTTGGAAAAGCATGAGGATGCGATCCACGAGAATCAAGAAGAAGCAAAGCATACCCCCCCCCCCCCCCAACCGGTTTAACAAGATGCCCGCAAACTAAAAACCCCGTACCCGACTTTGACCCGCACCATCATCATCATCATCATCATCAAATCTAAAATCTAACCTCAAAACTCTCTCGGTGAGGTCGTCTTTTTCTTTTCACATTTTCCGATAAACTATAGCGAAGCTAGGTATATATTTAACTCATTTTGATCATCTACACATAAACAAAACAAGAACAAATTCCCAGTTGATTCAACGATTGTGAAGAGGATCTGAAGCGTTGGGAACTCTTCTCTTGTTTGAATACACCATGTCAAATGAGTGCTTGAAGCTTCGATGTCGTTTTTGCTGCTGGTGTCGATGGTGATGGTGATGGTGGTGATCTTCCGGTGCGGGGTTCTGGTTGTTTCCGGCTACGACGAACTCCTCTTGATCCGTCTCGGCAGAAACTAACAATGATTTGACGATCAGCAAGATGAAGATTATCATTATTACGAGTTTCTGCGCCAAACCAAGTTGCAGAGATGGACGAAAATGCATTTTTAACACCATCTTTACTGCACCCAGATAAGATTTTTTCGAGAAAACAGAGATGGGTTCTTCTAATCTTCAGTGCATTGAAGTGAAATGAGAATACGATAAAGATTGGAAAGAAGAAAAACAAGAAAACACTAGCAAGCAAAGTTACGGCTTGGTTGGAAAATGCTGTAATAAGCCATGGTAGAAAAAGAGAAGAGTAAAAAGAGAAAAGGTGAGGCGTAGAGTGTTATTGAGTATACCCTGCAAACAAGGGACACAACTCACAATGGAACTTTTCTTTTCTTCTTTTATTTATAAGTATACATATGTGTGTCTGTGTGTGTGTGTGTGTGTGTGTGTGTTTGTGTAAAGTATAGATTTTTAGGGAGAAAGAAAAGAAAAGAAAAAGAAAAAGAAAAAGAAATTGAGCTTTACGAGAACTTTTCTTGCTACTCTGCTTTTGTTCTCGCTTTCAGTCCATAAAATAAGGTGAGTCTAAATCCAGCTTAATATAGATAGCATGCAGGAGGAGTGTAGTATACAGATCTTGGCTCTTGTGCTTTTCTTCTGTTTGTCTGGAAGTTGTTTGTCTCCTGCCGAAAAATATAAATTTTATCTTTCCATCTTCTTCCTTTAAAAGTCCAAGCAATATTTTCTCAATTTCACCTCGATAAATTTTTCTTTTTTTAAAAAAAAGTTAAACATGGTTTTTTTGGTATTTCTAGGAATGTCATCAAAATATAATTTTTTCTGTAAAAATATCCTATTTCATTTTTAACTCTTTAAAAATATTCAAATTACATTCTAAAATTTTTTAAAAAATTTAAATTAACTATCAACTTTTAAAGATATACAAATTATCTTCTTAACATTAAATAAAATTAACACCGTACATGCGGACGATGATATAATATATTTTTATCTATATAGACAGACATCACGCAGATGATACGTGAAATCATTTAAAAATGTTAGGTTTGTGTTCTAAAAATTATTTTTTTGTAAATAGATAATATGTTTTTTAAAAAATTTGAACTCATAAAATTTAAACAAGAGTACAAAAATCTTGACTGCTAAGTCGCGTGTTGATAATAAAATATAATTTTGTTCATAAAAAGATTTTTATCTAGGAAATTTGTTTTAAACTTTAAAAATATTAAATTTTTACACATTTAAAATATAAAAAATAGCTTTAGATTCATATTTTCAAATTACCCAGAGGGAATAACGAACTAAAAATTACTACTGAAAAATTTAAAGAAATTAAGATAATAAGCTTTTTTATCTTGTTCAAATGAGTTTATTTTGATTTAAAAGAAATTTATATGAGTGTTTATCTTTGGGCCATTTTTTGAACTTAAAGCATCAAAGAGAAGATGTCTACTTTTTTTCTTAAGCAGTATAAGAAAGGCAATTTGTCTTTAATTTACACTTTCAAAAAATGTATCAATCATCTTTAGAGAAAAATAAAAATTAAAAAAAAAAACTAGAAAATCTCAGTTTATGTATTGTATTTCTTTTAAAATAATTATAACAGATTTTTATTAAAAATAAAATAATATACATTTTTTTTTAAAAACCCAAGTAATTAATGTAATTAAAAGTAACTAATTTATGAGGTTATTTTTTTATTGGATAATATATAGATACACACACACTGTATAGATACGGGTACATGTACGAAAATGATGGATGGTGCTACAAGTAGAAATCTTCTTTTCTTTTTTTTTTTTTTTTTTTTTTATGGGAATAAACGAAAAACAACAATCTTTGCTTAAAGTAGACGTTTTTGAGTAGTCAAATCAGGCTCTCTCCAACCATAAACACTTTGAATATATATATATATATATATATATATGTATGAATTCAACCTGCAACTGCAACAAATTAAAGACTGCTGGCTGCATCTTAATTATATTGTCTTTATATTATTTATCAATTAATAACACAGAAAGTATGTAAGTATATAAATTATGATTATTAGAACCACTAGTACTTGTCTTGCTTTATCTGACCATTAATGGAAAAATAAATCAGAAGAAATGTTGGTCATGCTTTGATCCCACATCTTCTCTGAGTAATTGAACATACGTATATAATTAATTTAATTTTAATTTTAATTTTACGCTTTTTCTTTTTTTAGTCAGAATTAAATATTTGAATGCGTACAAAAAGTAAAACATTTTAAAATGTTTTATTTTTCAAAATTAATGAATTTTATGAGCATGCACGTCTCTTCTTGAAGGCCCAATAACAAAGGATCGGTTCAGCCTGTTCTTTAAAAATACGAACAATAATTATTCTTCATTAAAAAAATATATATTATAATAATAATAATTTTAAAAATTAAAAATTTTATTAAAAGCACGTTATTTTTAATTTTTCATCATTAAAAAAATATATATATATATATATGTGATTTTAATATTTAAATTTTAGATTAGATTGGACGATTCGATGGAGTAAAGATTTCTTTTTTATGTAACAAATGTTTAACCCGCAAAAAAATATATCATTAACAGTCAGCTGGAGGCCCAAAAATAAAAATGGATCTGATCAAGTAAAGGTTTATCCAACGACTATAAATTGTTGCATCACCAAGTTCTCGTATGTGCATTTAATCCACGGCTGAACAGTGAGCATGGGGAAACAAAAGTTTGAATCAAGCTTTATGTATATCTATTTAGAAAGTATTGATATTGTATTATAATTAATGCGTATATATCATATAATTAATAAATTTATAAATTCATTATTCATCTCCACTCTTATTTATACAAATACTTTTTTTAATTTACAAAAACATCTATCAAGTGGATTGACCATTTAAATTGGGAAGCAAAACCAACAATCAAGAATCAAAATCTGTTTATTAAGAACTGCAAACTAAAATCTAATTCTAAATCAACTCCTCATTTATAAGCCAATAAAATTAATACAAGCTTTGTAAAGAGATACTTGATTTATAGACAGAAGAATTACACCCTTAGAATTTAAGAATTGAGAAGAGAATCAGCTACCAAACAAAGAAAACCTCTAACCAAGTTAAAATGGTGTTCTGAATTCAGATCAGAGTCTCCATCATGTGTTAGTAGCTAGGGTTCATAATCACATTCATTCCCCCATAGCCAAAATGATATTGACAGTGCAAAAATACAGCATCGCCCAAAACTCGAATCCACATCACAAAACTCCATTGTCAAAATTACAAGCTCAACAATACGTTGTCTTGTGTCGATTTAGTCTGTCTGATCTGCAACTTTTCTCCCAGTCAAGATTTTCATTCTTGAACAGCTTCAAAATATGAAAGTGGTACTTCTGGAGGAGAAGGCATAGTTGCCACAAACTTGAACTGTGTTGAGAGAATAACATCAGGTGACCATTTTAACAATGTGAAAAAGAAAGATTGTTAACCACTGAATTTTCATGATGATCCATACATATACCTTATGCTGCTTATACTTGTCTCTCACAGCTTGCAGGGCACCACCTTTCCTACTCAGATATAAGTCATGGATGACAAGAACACACTCCCTCAATTCAGCCGCCTTGTACTTTGAATATTCTTGCAATGCAACACTCTGTAGAACATACGGAATTTTAATAATGACATTCGATATATTGAGTATTATTTACACAATCCTCTGAATTGATTAAACACCAAATGATTATTGCAAAATCCCATTTGAAATCAATTACTTACCCACGGATTCACCTTTGGCCGAAGTATAAATCTTGCCAAAAACACAACAGAAGCAGCCACCAAAGAAGGCAAGAATTTCACAAACCCATAGTCTAACAAGCTTAACTCTGCAAGATAATAGCTCAAGAACTCTAGCTGCAAATTACAAGTCTGAAAAAAACACAGAGAAAAAGAAAAAACCGTGAGCAAATTACTGCAACGTTTGGCATACTTCCCAAAAGTAATATATATATATATATAAACTTACTTTGTAATCCTCTTGTGCAACCATGTTCAATCTCCTGCAAACCGAAATGACGGGAAAGATGGTCAGTACACTGAAGTATAAGTTTTGATTTTATATCAGCATGAAATCTCAACACTGAAAAGTTTTTTGTGCTGGACAGTTTCTGACCTTAAAAATGTCTTCACTGTGGGACTGCCCAGTTCAAAGCTTAGTGATTTGAGTATATCAGCCTCCATCTTCACCACCTCTTCCTTGGTGTATGTATTATCTGTTATATAGCAGAAGTCTTCCACGTTTGGAGGGGTGATCTCTTCATATTTTCTACGTATAAAAATCGTAAACAATAAGCATGAAACAGAAAGAAACGTTTCAAAGAAATGAACCGGGAAGAAAAGGCTCGGACGCTTACGAAGCAATGAGCATTGAAGAAACACCCAGTAGCTGAAGCTTCTGCCTGTTGAGAGTGTTCATAGACAGATATCTATCAATGTAGTTAATGGTGAGATACAGAGTGTCTGAGACAAGTTTGTACTCCTCAGCAACCTCCACCAGCCAATCAACCAAAATCCCTCTCATATTTGCAGTAACATCTTTCTGAACCTTTTCAATGTAATCAGGTAAAGGTCTCCTCTTTGGCTGCATCTGAATATCAACACACCATGGAAGATCAGACCCAGTCAGCTAAAACCTATAACTTTTCTTAGAAACCCAAAATTCCAAAATCTTCCGTAAAACTTTCACCCTTTTGAAATTGGAAAGTATAATTGCACTGGTTATCATCTAATGGTCATATTATATATATAAAAAAAAAAAAAAACTCAAAGCCGATAATTCGCATCAGAGCACTAAAAATGCAAGGCGTCTAATTAGATTAAGATTAGACCAAAAGTCCCAAAATTGAGACACAATAATCAGATCAACTACTTCAGAAACACATCATGATAACATAGAGCGTTCTCTGTCTCAACCAAGAACAAGATGCAGTCGTTGTAGTTTCGATCTCACTTACCTCCATATTATGCAGATACTCGTAGATATCAGATACATAAGGACTACACAACTGAGGATCATCAGATTTGGAATCAATCTCAATCTTCACATCCGCCCTCACCTTCTTCAACGTTGGCATCAATGCCTTCTTGGCCTTGGGCTTACATTTCTGCTTCTGCACCTCCGACTCCAGACTTGGATTCACCGAAACGACAACATTTGACAGATGAGGAAGCTCCCCTAACACTACCCTTTTCTTATTCACCGGCTGCTCCTCCATCGCCGTCCCTGCCGCGGCTCTCTTCCTCGCGGCCCTGGTGATCCTCACGCACTTCTCTTGCTCCGCCATTGGCCTTGACTCTCTGGCAACGGGCCTTAACCGCTCTGAACCTTTGACGGAGAGATAGTGGGTGAAAGCAAAAGAGAAGATGAGAGCGGAGAAATGAAGAGGAGAGAGGGGAAGATAAAAGGATAATGAAGCGCCATTTTTTACGATTTGAAAAACTTGGCGCTTGCCGCTAGTTATTTGAGAAGGAGGGGGGGGAGGGAGGGACTTGTTTGGCTTTTTTGAATTTGATGAGTTGAGGGACCAAAATTAAATGATAAAATTTTAGGGCTTTCAATTTTCAAAATTAAAAGAAAAATCTCGGTTTTGGGATTTGGGCTTGAAAAAATTTGAGAGTTCCCGGGTGAGTTAAAATACTTGTTTTAGTTTTGAGAATCCGCGGGCTGTTTTGCGCCTTTCTCATAAATATATCATCGGATTCTTAATTGTTCTATTTTTTAAAGTTTGAAGAATCAAGATCTTCAATTTTAAAATGCATAAATATTAAAATATTTGGAAGGACAAATCTTTAAATATTAAATTATTTAACATAATTTTACTCATAAAATAATAAGGAAAATTTATGGTGATTTTTTGGTATATCAATCCCCGCCATTTTATACTGATTTTATTCTTGATTTTGTTCAATTAATTTGACTTTATATTGACCGAGTTATTATAATTGGATAGAGATGGTATTTTCAAAAAAATATATATATTTAATGACATTGCATAAACATTTATATATATATATATATATTTTTTCATTTTTATTATTAAATTACTTTCATTCTCTTCTACTTAATAATAAAATCATCCTACTTTTAAACTCTTCTACTAAATTGTCTTTTTATTTTAAATAATTTATACATGTATGATATATAAATACAATGTATTTAACTATAATGTGTAAAAAATATTAACTTAACTAATTATGTAATGTCCAATTTTAATTTACTGTAAATTAAATTAATTCATGCAACTTTTTTTTAATTTTAATTTAGTATAAAAATAAAAAAAAATTAATAGATGATGAAATTAAAAATGATTTTGGAGAAATCGATGAAAATTTGGGTTCTGAATGTATTTTTGAAAGAAAATTCAAAAAATGAAATCTCAAAATGCAATTTAAAAAATTTATGTCACGTAAGATACCCGATCAGCAGCCCTGACGAAACAGAATGCGTTGCGTGGCAACGGACACTGACGCGGTGCCACACAAGAGGTCACGTGGGCGATCCGCGTACCAATGATCAAACGGTTCAGATTCGTTCCCGTGCGCACGGACGACCTGCATGCGTTTTCTCTTCAAACGCAATTAGACAGTCAAATTTAAACACGATCGGACAGTGCAGATTAGATCGCAATGAATGGTCCAGACTATATCGTGATGAACGGTCTAAATTCACTTCATATTTGATCGCGATCGGACGGTTCAGATCAAATGCAATGGATAGTCCAATTTAAATAGGGACGGATATAAATAACCCTATTCACATCAAACCCTAACCTTAGCCAACAGACACCCTCGTCGGAGAAGAAGACCTAGTCACCGGGAAGGAGAGCCGCTGCTATCCGTCGCCGCGCCGAAGCTACTTCCGACTACCAAAAGCGGTAAAAATATCCCCCTTTTGCTCGTAATTCAATTTTAAACACCCCCATGGTCAAATCGGAGTAAAATGACTGAACAATTGGCCAAAAACTAAGGGTAAAGTTCGACGGTGGTACCGCGAAAAATTTCACAAAATGCCTCAGATTAAGCCTTTTTCGATTTCTGTTCGACGTAATTTTTTCACCATTGTGATCACCATTTCCTTCACTACAGGTTGACCGAAGTAAAACACCCAACTGCAACGTGAGCCGGAGGAGTCGCGGCATCGGATAGCCCTGCCCGCCGGTGAGTTTCGATTTTTTGTACTTTTTCGGCCAACCGAAGTCCTTTAACATATTTTTTCGCAGGGATTGATGCAAAATCGGCCGAATTCGGACAAAAACGGTCGAAAACAGCCGACCCAAAGAGGATCGTCACCGCAGGCAGCACTGTTGTCGCCGGAGCACAGCAGAGCCGCTGTGCCGGAATTTCAGAATTGGCCAAAATTGGGTTCTGAGACTGATTTTGGATTTTTTGAGACATTTGTAGGTACTTATAGCGCGTTTTAGACCGCCAGTAGGCGCAATCAACAGTTTAATATTTCGAATATCAAATTGAGTAAGAATCTCTCACCATATTCTCTGTTATAGAATTAAAGTCTAATAACAATAAATATGATATTTTGTTACAATTTGAAAAATATTCATAATTAATTACGAATTACTAATGGAGTTCGAATCAGTAATTATCTACTTTTGTTCTATTGATTATTTTTACAGTTTAAATATATGATAGTACCTTATTGATTGATTTTATGGTTTTGAATGCGTGTATTGTTTGTTTTATGTGGTTACGGCTGAATTTAAAAAAATATAAGTTAAAGGTAAATGGAGAATTGTATGATTAAGTGAATAAATAAAACGACAGTCTTACTAGATATTCTGGGAGATTGTGGATAAACCAGGTACATAGAGAAACCCTACCATGAACGTTGTCTCATACTGGACAGGGTATCGAGACTTGGTAATTTAGTGCTCATACTGGACGGGGTATGGGGATGACCCGCTTCATCATCATACTGGATTATGTATCAAGGTTTAGTAATTTGGCGCTCATACCGGACAAGATATGGAGACGACCCGTTAATTGAGAATGTTAAAGGAAATGATTCACGCGTAGTGAGAACATCCATATGAACCCCAAT